ATAGCTTTTACCGTTTAAGTCTGAATTCCTTGATTAAAGGAAGTCTTGTATGATTGATTTTAATTGAAATTCAGTTCCTTAATTGTTTTCATACCTTGTTTCTGCCTGTTCTTCACAGTATAAATACCTGCTCTTCATTGACACAAAAAGACCATCACTCATAGTCTTTCTGAATTTACACTTACACTCGAAAGAAAACATTCTTTCTTGTTGTTTGTACTGTGGCCTGTTTACAAGATCTACTGCTTACTTTTCTTAATTTACTTCTTTGAAAACTGGTATGTACTGATTTAAGCTTTTTAGCATCACAACAATGTGTTTATTTACTGCTTTTGTATCCCTGTCTGTTTACTGCTTCTGTGTGTTTCAACATTACTGATCTCTTTCTGCCTGTTCTATTATGAATCCCACAACCGTACCCCTATGTGTTTAAGCTATGGTTTGAGGCATGTCAATACTACAAGTTATTGTCCATGAATCAAACTCGATCCCTGGGGATCCTAGCCTCTAAATAGTGTGTTCTGGCAGGTTTGAGAGTATGCTAGCATCCTCCATTGCTGAGCATGCTTGAAGCCTGTCCTGGCCTAAAAAAATAGACTCTTCACAATTTCCCTACCCCTCTGAACTCCCTATGCGTGTTTATTAGCAGTTGTATTCCTCTCATTTTACCCTTTAGTAGTCTATTCTGCACTTGCACACTTTCTTAGTCTTTAAGTTCTGCCCCCCTTTGTAAGCCATGCCTTGGGACCTTTTGAGTTCCCTCTGAACTTGGACACTTGAGGGCTTGCCCTTCCATACTACACTTATCCTAATCTGATTATACATTTGGGTGTGAGAATTGCCCGGAGTCCCTTTGAGGCTTTTAGGAAAATTTAAAACACTCAAATAGGAGAAAGGCTTTGGATCATGATCCCTTGGAGTTGGTTTACCTCATATTTCAGACATGAAGTCTGAATCAGGCTCTCCTTTGGTTGTACTTTTATTTATATTTTCTGATGTATTTTTTTTACTTTATTTTGGGTTGTAATAATTTGTAATAAACTCTTGGGGATGATTAGTGAAAAAGGGGCGGGTAACTATGCATGCCAAAAAAGGGTAGATACCATATCTATAGGAATTTTAAATATGCATCATAGGTGTTTGGAAATCTGCACATGCAAATGAATATATAAATCATGTCTATAGCTCCTTCTGAATTCTGTATATCCTACATTTATATAGAAATCATGATCATAGGACTACTATATTTATATAGAAATCATGCCTACAGGATTGTCTAAATCTGCACGTTCAATTGCACCTAGATATCATGTCTATAGGTCTTAAACAAAATTCAGCATCTAGATATCATGTTCATAGGTTTAAAACGAGTCTTCTGCATTTTTATATCATGACTACAAGGTTCAAAATCAACTACGCGTAGAAAGCATGTCTATAGGAATTCCTAATCGAATCTGAATCGCTTCATTCACGTCTAGAGCTAAAACCAGTAATAACAGGTATCATTAGTTGCAGAATTTATAACCTTCGTTAAAACTTGCCTTTCTTTTAATAACCTGACTACCTTTTTTTAACCAATACGTATTCAGTTTATTATTTCTTTCAGAATTCAGTAGATACCATGCTTATAGGATCCTTGTCCAACGCTTAGGCAAGCCTTAGGGCGAAGTTATAAACTGAATCTGTGCTATTAACTACAACCAACAGGTAGGCCTGATTAGGGCTTCTTATCTGAAGTATGTAATAAATCAGTCTGCCTCAACCTTTAAGATCTTTACAGACCACAAACAGTATGTGAAAGTCATGCCAATTATGTGCTTTCTTTGTTTAGGGAGGTACATCTCAGCCTTTTACTTGTTATGTGCTTTCCCCCAACTTTCTATACATGTTTTGTATGTCGCCTTAGAATTTTGCCTTTGAAACTACAAATAAGCCTAATATCCCTCCCCTTTAGGATTAGTAGTCCTAACTGCCTCCGGGACTGATAGAATTGGGACGAGTAATAGCATGCAATAAGTAAACGAGACCATTCCGTGCTTTAATACCTAAACGGGGTGGGAAAGGGTAGATATGGACATGATGACCACACGATAATGTCTCGTGTAGCCCCTTACTGAGGAGTGATTATCGGATGTTGTGTGGGGTGATCCATATTATTAATAAACNGAAGTTTTATTTGCCTACATATTATTTTCACGTAAATTCACAACAATAGTCTGGCCGAGAACCACACTAATGGATCCTGAGGGGTGCCTAACACCTTCCCCTTGCGATAATTTCAAGCCCTTACCCCAATCTCTAGTTACTCAAATCAAACATTCTTGGTGTCCTAATGCACCTTAATCATTAGGTAGAGACTCTTCAATTCAAACCCAAATTCCCAAAAAGGGAATGAGTTGTTCTCCCAAATGTGATAAACCCTATTTCGCGACAAAAAGGGGGCACGACACTGGACAGTGTTTAAAAAAAATGGGTTTGGCTCATTTCATCTCAAATCTTCCATGGGAGCCGACCTTGGGGCGATTTTTGAAGGATATTCTTCGTCACCCATCACTAGGTAAGTGATTCCTTCATATTGTGAGTTAAATATATGGCTTATATATGGATTTAAATATGAAAATTTGAAAAAATTTGGGATTTTGAAGAAAAACCTAAAAATTAGTATTTTTGGATTTTGACTACGAAATTGGACATGGAATTTGGAAAAGTTATATATTTGAGTTCGTGGCACTATGGGTAAAGTTTGTCTTCGAAAATTTTCGAAATTCGGGCACGTAAGCCCGAGGGTTGATTTTATTAACTTTTTGAGCGGAGTTGAAAATTGTTATGAATTGATTTATTATGAGTATTTGAGTGTATTTTCATTGGTTTGCATATTATTTGACTAGTTTTGGAGCAACAAGCATTGGTTTGAGGTGTTAGAGTAGCGTTGGAGCCGGTTATAGAACTTCGGAGCGAGGTAAGTCTTCTGACTAACTCTGTGAGGAGGAAAACTATTCCTAGGTGACATAATTGTTATATGTTACTAGTTGTGGGTGCTACTTACGCATGAGGTGACGAGAGTCCATACGTAGCTAAAGCATGTTATGTCCGGGTAGACTTAGGATTTCATCATGCAATATTTGAATTACTTGAACTCATTCTGCTGGCTTAATTAATTAAAGTTATAACTGAAATTGGTTCAGAAATAAATATATGTATAAAAGACCGAGCCTTATCTTTGAGTTGTGGGGGAGTTATTTGAGAAATGGTAAAGATTATAATTATATCGTGCTCATGTATTGTATTGTAAATACGTGTCTCGTAATTCGGTAACTTCCTTCCTTTTCTTGTGGAGCAGGCCGAACGCCTCGGCAGTATATAGATGCATCTATGGATCGTGTCGCACGTCCCTCGGCAGTGTACATGTTATTCTGGATCGGGCCAAGCAACCTCGGCAGAATCGTGCGTTATATCGCTAGTAGTCCAAATATTCATGAGCTAATCTTCCCACTGATGCCTGACGCTTTATGGTATTTCTTATTTATTTGGTATTGACACTGGGCATTTTCTGAGATATTAAGGTAGAATGAAAGATCGAGAAATTTATGCTTTAAAAGAAATAATTGGAAGATTATAAAATTTACAGGTTTACCCTACTATTGCTGTGCACTTCATATCGGTTATGAATTATTATATTGTTTTATTGGACCACTAGTAAGTGTCGATGTCGACCCCTCGTCACTAATTCTCCTATGTTAGGTTAGATACTTACTGGGTACGCATTGATTTACGTACTCATGCTGCACTTCTGCATTAAATGTGCAGGATCTGACAGATCCTTTGGTGATCATCTTGGCGCGTAGGTGCATCTGTTGAGGAGACTTAATGTGAGCTGCAACTCAAGCTACGCATCGCTATCCACCGAGTCCCCATTGTACATTTATTTTATCCTATCTTAGTTACATTCTGGACAAATATTGTATTATTATTGTACTCCTTAGAAAATACTCATGCACTTGTGATACCGGGTTTTGGGGGTTCCTAGGGGTTGTTCGTTATTGTAATTGCGCATTTATTATCATTTTACCTTGGAAATTATATTTTATACCATTAAATTGATGAAGATGATGGGTTCGAAAGTAATAAAAGGAGTAAATAAATTAATAAATCAATGTTGGCTAGCCTGAGGGCGGCGTTAGGCATCACCACGACCTATAGTGGATTTTAGGTCATGAAAACAACCAAATAATATTTAATACCAAATGTTACTATAGGTATATAACAATCATTCATTTTCAAAGCCAAAAAACTATTAGAACAAACAAAGATGCTATAATAAGGTCTGACCGTAAAAGACCTACCGAGTTGTTGGAGTATTGATCCTATATAGTTGATCATTATATCCTATTTAGTTAATATTATAGGTTGAAACTTTTCTAGGAAAAATAATTTTAGTATGTCTACACAAAAACTTACATTGACAAACACGGGCAGAAATACTAGGATTCTTATCCTATCTGAAAACTTCTTGGCTGCTCATTTCTTTACGAGCATATCATTTACTTGGTTCTATTCTCTGTAGTTATGGCTAATGACTAGATTCCTCATTCTCTCCATCAATAACCTACATTCACAAATTAAAGCATCATAAGTTGGGTGACCATTTTTTATCAGCTTGATTACTTCAGTACTATTGGACCAACAATCCTTGTTACTAGTAGTTATCAATTTGTTTCTAGCATTTATCTTTTTATATTAGATTGCATTTATCTTCTAGATTAAATGATATCATAGTTAGTTCTTCAGAGTTATCTATTTGGTTTAGATAGGATTCTTTAGTTATTTGGTTTACATGAAACTCTAGAAAGGTGGTTGTTGTAACTTATATTTAAACTCATTTATGCATTCAATAAGAGATACAGTTTTCCACCATCTATTCAAGTGTTCATATGGTATCTGAGCCTATACAACTCTAACGAGCACGATCCTATTTTCTTTTCCAAGCACCAAATCCTTCAATGACGAAAGATGAAAACACTTCTAGAGTTATCAATGCTGACAACACTACTGGTATCAACACCATAGTTCAATTCAACCCCGCTTCCCAACTGCCAATCAAACTTAGTGGCAGTCACAATTTTTCCACTTGGAAAGCTCAGTTCTCCATTCTTATGCATGTACATTACCTCTATGGTCACCTTGATGGATCTACCCCGACTCCCAACTCGAGAACCACTTTTGGCACCAACACGACTCCAACCCTGCTTATACACTTTGGTTCCGTCAGGATCAACTCATTCAAAATGCCCTTATGGCATCTGTTGATCCTACCATTGCCTCCATAGTTGTTGCTGCCAACAAATCAAAACAGGCTTGAGACTCTTTGTATACTGCTTATGCAAATAAGTTCCAAACTCGGATCTTTAGCCTTCGTGATCAACTTGCCCGAATCAACAAAGACTCCCTCCCTATTACTGAATACCTTCAATGTATTCAGTCATTTTCGGATGAACTAGTCACTGCTGGTGCCCCTGTTACTAACTCCAAACTCATTGTCAAAATCCTTAGTGGACTTGGCCCTGAGTTTCGCGAGATCTCGGTTGCTATACTTACACATGACACCATAGTAACCTATGAAGAACTGTATGAGAAGTTTCTTGACCATGAGCTCTTTCTCCGTCATGAGGAGGCTAAGGAAATGTAGAGCCCAATCACTCTGCGGTGGCCACTCACAACAAACCAACCAATAATTCCAACAACTGCAACAATCGTAGTCAGAACAATAATGGTACACCTACTCAGAATCCTCATCAATGGCACCAGAATGCATGCCCCAATCCGCCAGCTCAGTGGCCAGCCCTGACTAACAATAATTTCACTAATGTTATCCGGTGTCAGTTGTGCAACAAAATTGACCACATTGCAAGTGTCTGCAGTTCTAAATCTCACAATCACTTTGAGGCTAAAGCTAATTATGTTTGCGGTTTCACCTCTACTTCCGACCCATGGATTATGGATTCTGGAGTTACTCATCATCTCACAACAGAGCCACACAATTTACAGGAATATCATGGCAATGAGAATGTCTTTATGGGTGATGGTAACAAAATTTCCATAACTCATACTGGTTCAACTCAGTTAAAGCATCAAATAATATTTTTTATCTAACTCACACTTTATGTGCTCTTGACATCAAACGTAAACTTATCGTTGTCTCCAAATTCTGCCAAGATAATCTAGCATATATCAAATTTTTTCCTTTTGATTTTCTTGTGAAGGACCTGAAAACGCGAGTACCACTGGTGCGAGGCCGGAATAAACATGGATTGTATGAGTGGCCCAAGTCATATCCACCACCACCTCCGCAAGCTCACATCACCTCTACCACGGCTTCTTTGATCACATGGCATCGAAGACTAGGTCATCCGCATTTCAGAATTCTTAAGCATATCTTGAATAAAGTTTCGCTTCCATTCTCTGAGAGAGACAAGTCTCTTATTTGTAATTCTTGCTAATCTAATAAAGCCCATCGACAACCATTTAGTCAGTTGAGTTTGACAAGTTCCAAACCTCTAATAGAAAAGCACTTTGATACCAAAATTTTATCACTTTATACTGATGGTGGAGGGGAGTATAAAAGTCTTGACTCTTATGTCGCCCTTTATGGTATCGAGCATCTTTCTACACCACCTTATACCCCTCAAAGGGTAGCTCTTGCAGAGAGATACCATCGCCATATTATTGAAAGTGCAATAGTGCTACTTTATGAGGCATCTTTTCCATCAATTTTTTGGTCATTCGCGTGTCAACATGCTGTTTATTTAATCAATCGTCTTCCCACCTCACTCTTAAATAACCATTCCCCAAAAATTATTTGGTGAAATACCCAATTATGATGCTCTTAAAACTTTTGGTTATTTATGTTATCCTTGGTTCAAACCTTATTCTAAAAATTAACTTGAACTCAGGTGTCCTCCATGTGCTTAACTCGGTTTCTCTGTAACCCATCATTGCCACCAATGTTTTGATCCCATGTCATCAAAAATTTATTTATCTCGTGATGTGCATTTTTTTGAGAATATTTTTCCCTTCAAAAATTTATTTTCAAATATTGCACTTAAATTACATAAAGTGGAATGGGACAAAGTCACAAATAAAGTAAACCCAATGCCCACCTCTCACTTTCCCTTATTTTCAGAATTACCCCAACCCATTATAAACCCCACATAAAATAAAATCAATGAAATTGAACCCATTCCTAATACGGCAGAATCCATCTCCCAACATCTTTCATCTCCTAATGAAACTACAGCTACAAATCAATCACCACCCCCCCCCCCCGAGATTCCCGGCGTATTACCAGTGGTACAAGCAGATTTGGGATCTTCACACACTCCTGTCTCAGGTATGTCTCTATCTCTTCCTACTCTATCTCCTCCTTATAATTCCCGCTATTCTAGTCCATCCACATTGCATTCATCCATCCCAACCTCTTCGCCACCACTGTTTGTGTATCAACTACGCACCCCGAACCTCAAATCAACTAATTTGATGGCCCCCCACCTTCCACCACTGTTCCTCCCATTGAGCACCAACCAGAACCACCCATTCCGCACAATCCTTCTTCTCCCAGTTGCATAGTTACTCGCTCATAGAATAACATTCAAAAACCAAAAAAGATTTTTGACTACGCTGTTCACTTGGAACCTACACTCGTACCCTACGCTTTCAAATAAGCCCAAAAACATCCGGAGTGGAGAGCAGCAATGAAAAATGAATTTGATGCTTTACTGAATAACCACACTTGGAAACTTGTTCCAAATGATTCCTCTAAGAATGTTGTTTCATGTAAGTGGCTTTTCAGGATTAAAAGGAAAGCGGATAGTTCTGTTAACCTCTACAAAGCGAGACTGGTTCCGAAGGGATTTACTCAGAAGTCGAGTGTTGACTTTCATTTTACTTTCAGTCCAGTGGTCAAACCTACTACTATGCAAATCATACTTGTTGTTGCCCTTCGTTTTCACTGGCCCCTTCGTCAGCTCGATGCTAATAATGCATTTCTTCAAGGTGATCTTAAAGAAGAGGTCTACATGACGCAACCTCTGGGTTTTGCTTGTGGTAATAATCCAACTCATATTTGTAAGTTGCGCAAGGCAATTTATGGCTTAAAGCAAGCACCTCGGGCTTGGTATAATGCACTCAAAGGCCATCTCTCCTACATGGGATTTGTCAAGATTGAATCTGACAACCTTCTATTCACTCGGCATAGCAACGCCGATTTCATGTTTATTTTGGTATATGTTGATGATATTATAGTTACTGGTAGCAACTCTATCACTGTGAATGAGGTCATAACTTCCCTTGCCTCTCATTTTTCAATTAAAGATTTGGGAAATCTTAATTATTTTCTTGGTGTTGAGGTGATTCGGAGTTCTGATGATATTATTCTCTCTCAAGCTAATTATTTCAATGAGATTCTGAATGATGAGTTGATGGCTGATTGTAAGAGCGCTAACATACCAATGAGTGCCTCTGCGTTGCTAAAACTCAATGATGGGGCTCCGCTAATAGATGCGACTCGCTATCATCGAGTCCTAGGAAGACTTCAATATTTATCTTTTACAAGGCCGGATATTTCCTATGCTATCAATAAATTGTCCCGTTTATGCAATCACCATCTGAGCTTCATTGGAAATCTGTGAAACGTGTTCTTAGGTACCTTCGTGGTACTATTCAGTTTGGCCTGCGTGTGTCCCCGAATGTTGATTTCAATTTGCACATGTATTCTGATGCCGATTGGGCTGGAGATCTCACTGACAGATCCTCCACGTCTAGCTATATTTTGTTCCTTAACCGAAACCCCATCAGTTGGTCTTCAAAAAAGCAAAAAACTGTCGCTCGCTTATCAACTGAAGCCGAATATAGAGTTGTCGCCAATGTTCTTGCCGAACTATTATGGGTGAGAAACTTATTGCTTGAGATGCGGCTTCCTATCAGAGATACCCCTACAATCCACTGTGACAACATTGGTGTCACTTATCTAAGCGAGAATCCGGGCCTTCATAGTCGCATGAAGCATGTCGAGGTGGACTTTCATTTTGTGCGCAACCATGTTGAACGCAAGGAGGTTCGAGTTGTTCATGTGCATTCAGCTGACCAACTAGCTGATACGCTTACTAAAGCACTTGCCAAACTAGCCTTTGATCGCAATCTGTTCAAGTTAGGCTTAGTGACACATAGTCTAACTTGAGGGTGGCGTATTGGACCAATAGTCCTTGTTACTACTAGTTATCAGTTTGTTCCTAGCATTTATCTCTTTAGATTAGATTGCATTTATCTTCTAGATTTGATGATATCATAGTTAGTTCTTTAGAGTTATCTATTTGGTTTAGATAGGATTCTTTAGTTATTTGGTTTACATGAAACTCTAGAAAGATGGTTGCTGTAACTTGTATTTAAACTCATTTATGCATTCAATAAGAGATACAGTCTTCTATCATCTATTCAAGTGTTCATAAGTACTGTTAGATGCAATTCTGTCAGGTGCAACTCGATCGAAATCATCTTTTAAGTACAAAAAATATTAAAGAAATAGAAGAGAATACAAAGAAGTAAAAGGTAAGTTTTTTTTTTCACATAGGAAACTCCACGATAAGATATTGCGTAATTTTTGTGTTCTTTGTCCTTGTTGTTTATCGTACAAGATCAATTTTCCTTCTTTATTTTCCTTTGCATATGAAACTATCTGCTTGGTTGTTAAATTATATTTCATTAGATTGTTTCATAACTATAACAGTTTCACGTGTTGATTTTATAATATTTATTTATTTATTTAGGACATTACAATTAATTAAAATTATATTTATTGAATATGTATTTATTTGAACCATGTTGGAACTTTTGTATATAAATATATTTATTATTTGATGCCCCACACACGTACAACGTACATGCATTAAAACTGGAAGTTTAATAATTTTGTACTAGCTATTGATACAGTATGAATTGCACAAGTGTTCAATAGAAATTTAAAAGTCATTTATATTTTATACTTATTTTTATATTCTCTAAAGTATAGTGTTATCACATATGATCACTTATTTTAAATATCAGAATATAACAATACTTTAAGTATAGCAAGAGTTCGCGATAATTCTTTATAACCTTACGCTGAGCAGCAGCAGTATGTTCCTCAATGTATTAAATACAATACTTTTTTGGTAATTAAACTTTATTTTCACGTAAATATATACACGTATATCCCCTAAGTTTGGACATTCATCCCCAAACTTAGTAACATCTCTTCCTCAATGCCTACTCTAAGGATCATAGTTGAGCTTTTGCAGACTATTCCTCAATCTACTATGCCGATGACCTATACAATGAATGTCTCTAACTATTTGTCTAGTTATATCTTCACTGCTTCTCTTAATCATCTGAAAGATCCTTCTGTTTCTTTCCAGCCATATGTGATACACTGCTCTAGCTAGTCATACACAACCTGTACAACATGGTTTTGGCTCCATTGCCTTTCACCTGTTCTATTGCCCATTTGATCTCCTCATCCCATCCTTTTGGTTCACGTCTGATTTTCATCCATTTTAGTAGTCTTCTCCAAACATCTTCTGAGAGAGAGAAAGTAAAGAAGATATGGTTGTGACTTTCCATCTCATGCTCACACACTGGATATTCTGGACTTACTTG